GGCGCGTACGTCATCGAGTTCGAGTTCAGCTGCTCCTCCCTGCTCAGCCGGGCCCAGGTGAAGCTCGTGGCTGGCAGGTAAGTGCTGTGGCACCCCCACAAGCTCCCCCACCCCCAAATGACCAGGGGTACCCCCAACCCCACTCCCCCCCACCGCAGCAGGGACCCTGGGGCACTCTGAGTCTGGCCCAGGCATCAAGCCCTGAGCCCCAGCGCTGGGAGGCCCAGCTCTGCCACTGGTTCCCGGTGGGCCTTGTCTATGTCACTTAACTGCACTGTGCCTCAGTGTCCCCATCTGCAGCAGTGGGCTGGCATCAAAGGGAAGTGGAGACTGGGCCCACCCTGGGGCCAACTGGGGGCAGGGGCTGGGAAGGTGGTGGGGGGCTGCCAGCCTCCCCTTCCCCAAGAGCCCTGTGCTTTGACCAGTTTTTCCCATCAGTGACAGCCTGGAAGGGAACGAGACCCTGCAGGACAACACGGCCGAGCTCTTTGCCTACGTCCGCTACGAGCCCGACCTCTTCCTGTCCAGGTGAGAGCCCAGGGTGGGAGCAGGGGTGGGGCGAAGGGCAGAGCAGGGGTGCAAGGTGCTGGACGCCTCTTTGCACTGGTATAACAAATCCAGTATAAACCAGTTTGCAGCTGGGCATGGCCTGGGCTTCACAAGGCGGCGAGGCTGTGGCTCCTGTCCCACCCCCCAAACCTGGGGAGGACTTGCCCCTACACCCGCTCTCTTGCCCCTGTCTCCAGCCCGGCTTTGGGCTGGGCAGTGGGGCTGGGCTCTGGGCCAAGGACTGATGGCTCTGCTCTGCCTGGCAGCGAGGCCGCCCTGACGCGCTACGAGGTGCACCCGGGAAGCCCCTTCCCCAACGGCATCGGGCCTGAGTTCCAGACCACCGTGAAGGTAACCACCCCGGCCAGGCAGATGGGGACGAGGTGGGGGCTCTCAGGGCCAGGGTGCGTGTCGCTGCACACCCAGGCTTAGCCCCAGACGGTGCAGTCAGAGCTCCCGCTCCCTCCTGGAGACCGAGCATCTGCTGGGGCAAAGAGGGAAGGTGGGCAGCTGCCCCTAGCCCCATGCACTAGCCTCGTCCCGCTCTCCTGGCAGGTGCAGAACCTGGGCTGCTACCCCGTCAGCGGCCTGGCCCTCCGCATGGCCCTGCCAGCTGCAGGATACCAGAGCCGCCCCTTCCTCTCCATCACGCGCATCCTAGCCAACAACGTGAGTCCACAGGGGGCTGCATGCCCCTTCCCTGTGGCCCCGAGTGGGCGCCAGCGCTGGGCGCCCCGGCGCTGACCCACTGCTCCCCGCAGGTGACGTGCAGCCTGCAGAACGTGACAGCGGCCACAGCCCCACTGCACCCTGCCAATCTTGCCCACGAAGACAGGCTGGTGAGTGCCCCCTGTGCCAGGGACCCAGCAGGGACATGGGGTGTGGGTGTGTGTGTGTGCACAGATACGTATGTGTGCACGTGTGAACGTGCACATGCACAGATATGTATGTATGTGTGCGGGTGGCTTGGGGCACTTGAGCATCTCCCCTCCTTGCCCTGCAGAACTGCAGCAACACGTGGTGCCAGGCCGTGACGTGCGAGCTGGCGCCGCTGGAGAAGGGCGCCGAGGTCTCCGTGCAGCTGCTGCGCGTGATCCACAATGATTTCTTCCGGCGGGTGAGAGCCCGGCGGCGAGAAAGGGTCCAGGCTCGTAACCCCCGTAGCTGCCTTCTGCACAGCTGCATGGCTGGGGCAGGCTACAGGGACTGCTCCTAGCTCTGCAGGGATCTGGGGACCAGTCTTTGCCCTTCTGCACGTGTTTCCTGTGCCCTGGCCTCCTCTAGCCAGGGCTCCATGGCTGGGCACAGCTCTCTGGGGACCAGCCTCTCCTGCAGCCTGCAGGACAACATGGCCAAGCTCTTTGGCCACGGCCACTGAGCCCACAACACCCCATGGCAGGGATCAGAGACCCAGCACCCACACCACGTGGATGTAAATCCTTCTCTCCCCTCCCCAGGCCAAGTTCAAGGCTGTGAAAGTTGTCAGCATGTTTGCCCTGGTGGCCGAGGAGAGCAGCGTCCTTGTACTGGATGAATCAGTGCATCGATGGGAGGTAGGAGAGCTGGGGGGGGGGCCCCCCCAAGCCTGCTGGAGCTGGGCACCGGGGCTGCATTGAACCCTGCCCTGCTGTGGCCCATGGCTGGCTGGGAAAAGGTGGGTCTTAGGGGCCACATCCTGCACCAGCATGTCCACTCCTTGCCGTGGGGTGATTTACCCCGGAGCCGCGTGTCTGTCACACTGATGGGGGGCACGTTCGAGTCAGCTGCTTTCCAGCAGCTCTGCCCAGAGCAGGTGGCCTGTTAGGAGACCTGCCCCCTCAGCCCGCTGCAGGCTTGATGTGCTGGTGAGGACTGAGCTGATGCCCCAGCGCTGGCCCCTGCAAGCAAACCACCCACCTACATCTGCATACCAGCCTCAGTGCCTCCCCGTAGCTGTGCACTACTGAGCGCCACCCCGCTCTCTTTGCAGACAGTCCTGGAGATCATCCAGCCCAAGCGCATCCCCGTCTCCTTGTGGATCCTCATCGGCAGCATCGTGGGGGGGCTCCTGCTCCTGGCACTGATCATCTTCTGCCTGTGGAAGGTAGGAGGCCGCTGGGCAGGCTCAGACCCTGGAGGGGAGACCCTCAGGCCCTGGGATCTCTCATCTCCAGCCCAAAGGGAGTCCTGCCCCATTTCCTCTTGTGCAAACCTTTGCCCTTAGCTTTTCTCCCCGCTCTGGAGTCACCAGGGAACAGGTCAGCAAGCAGGAAGGATGGGGCATCTCTCAGTTGGCAGCCGCAACCTCCCGCGACTCAGGGAAACCGACCCCAGGACCCGGGCGCTCAGCAATAGTGCTGGGCACAGACACGCAGCAGTCAGGCTTAGCGCAGCCCCTCACCACCTTCCCAGCCCTTGTCCCCAGCTGGCACCGTGGCAGTCCCAGTCTCCACCTCCCTTTGGTGCCAGCCCATTGCTGCAGATGGCCACACTGAGGCACAGTGTGGTTAACTGACACGGGCATTGGGCAAGGCCCATCAGGAGTCAGTGGCAGAGCTGGGTCTCCCAGCACCGGGGCTCAGTACTCAATGCCTGGGCTTAGCACGACCCTTGCATGCTGGGCACTCCTGGTCTTCAGGGTGGGGGCGATTCTAGCTCCCTCGTTTCATCCCTCCTGGGCCCTGACTCAGTTTTCTGGCGGGAGCTCAGGGCCAGGCCGTGACCAGCTGTTTCCTCCCCCCAGCTCGGCTTCTTCGCTCACAAGAAGCCCCAGGAGGAGGAGGAGGAGGAGAAGGAGGAGCAGTGACCACAGCTCCCCGTGACAGACTCTCCACTGCCGCCTGCCAGCCCCAGGGACAGCCAAGGGCAGATGTGCCACTGCCTCGGCCGTCCAGCTCTGCCTGAGGCCCACAGCCCCTTGGACTCCTGCTGCCCCTGGGGCTGGACCTGCCCCTGCTCGGGCTCACCCCTTCTACCCGGGGCCTAGGGGTGCCAGGACGGGGCTCTTCCCCCCAGCAGTGCCCCCAAGTTACATCCAGCTGGGCGAGAGCCTCGAATGCGGTGCCAATCGGTGGGAAGCCAGCTCGGGGCACACACCGGGACTCTGGAGAAGCCTCTCGCCCACCCACCCAGGCCCCCGCTGCAGCACAGACACGAGGAAGCCAGTCAGCCCTCGCTCACGGCCCTGTGCGCAGGGTGGAGACAGACTAGGCCTGGCCGGGGATCCGCAATAAAAGCCTGCAGCGTGGCTGCCCCGACCTTTGCTGCTGCCAGCGCCGGGGGGGAGGAGGATGGGGACAAGGCTCAGTCCCGCTGACAGCATCTGTGGCTTTTCGGGAGTGGGGCAGGGAGTGTGAGGCATGGGGTGGGGGGAACAGAAATCCCTGGGATCCCCATGGCATCAGCGCCTGCTCCCTTCCCGTCGGGAACAGCTGACCAGCCTCAGCGAGGGGGAATGGGTGCAGCTACAGCTCAGAAAAGGGTGGCACTCAACCCACCATGGAGGGGTCCGGGGTGGGAACTGTTCACGCCCCAGGTCACCCCCTCCTGCACACAGGCTCCTGCTTCAGCCACAGGCCCGTGGACCTAGCACCGCAGTTTTGTCACTCCTGTACCTGCCCCGGGCCAGTACATCAGTGCCTGCTCGAGGCCCACGTGGGGCAGGGAGCAGGGTAGAAGCCCAGAGCTCACGGTTGCCCCACTTACCCCTCCCCAAGGCATCCTCAGTCCCTATGAAGAGCCAGGAGCCTGCCTGTTGCAACCAACAGCCCCATTGATTTCTGCAGCATTAGAGCAGACGCACAAGCTCAGGGCTTTATTTCCAAGCGAGCGATGTAGCAAGCTGTGCTCAGAAGAGCCGGGGATGAGGATCTGAGGCCATGCTGGATGTGTAACTGGCAAGGGCAAGCAGCCCCGTCTTGCCTTGTGGCCTGGGAATTGGTTTTAGCTCAACTTGGATCTAACAGCTGACCATTTTCAGAGGGCAAGGGGTGGGGGAGCTGGGATACGAGAGCTGCTAATCCACAGGTAAGAGAATGCCCCAAAGCCAGGGCCTGAAGCAAACTGACCAGCGCTAGTCCCATGCCCACATGTGGAGGGGCTGGGATGGTGCAGGCACAGAGCAGGCTAGAGCCCAAGCAGGAGGCTCCCACCGCTTCCTCCTACCACCACACCCCTCGCGGCTGCAGCCCAGAGTACAGGGAGGCTTGGGCAGTGCCAAGCAACGGTGTGCCCCAGCCCAGCTGGGCCTGGGCTGCCGCAGGAATTTCAGTTGTGACCATGTAAGCAGCATTAGTGCCCTCTGCTTCCGCCTGGAAGAGAGGAGCATTTGCTCAAGTCCACAGCTGCGTGGGTCTGAATGTGGCTCGGACAGACACCAGGGTCCCCCCCTCCCAAAATCTGACCCAGTCCAGGAAGACACTTCCACTATCTTCCCCTGGCTTTGGAGCAAGCATTTTTTTAAAGAGCAAAAGCTGCTGGAAATTAGAACGTACATGATATATGAGAAATATGGTAAGAGCAGTTTTTACACTTACTGGACAAAAGGGAGCAGAACAGGCTTCCGCACTGCTGCTACTCGGTGACTTGCTACAAGGAAAGAGCTTTTTTACCCATTTCAAAACCAAGGTGTGTACCATACGTGAGACAATACGGTCACGTAAAAGACCCATGCAGCTGGTTTAACATGGGAGCTCCCCCAGAGCTCCTGACGCACCCCCTACCCCTGTGACTTGGCTCTGACAACCTTCTCAACAGCCAGGCTTCTTTATAAAGGCCTTTATTTGACTTTAGAGCAAACGAAACACTAATTTAAACCAGGTGTACGTGGTACACCGTTACAGCAATGACATGGCGACAAGTTGGAGACGCAATCTCCCCTCTCCTCCTTCCTCCTGATCCGCCAACCGAACGCCACCACGGGCGGGCTGGTGGGAGTGCGAAGCCAAGGCATGATTTGGACGATAAAAAAAAAAAGAGACAACAAACCGAGAGCCCAGAACAGGGAGGCGACGTTAGACATGGGCGATTAAAAAAAGAAAAAAGAAAAAAAAAAGACCCCAGGAGCTTCTTCACGTTCCCAGACTCGGAGAATTATTTCATGTTAAACACTGGAAGAATCGTCCAGGGAAATGGCCAGGCGCGGTTGCCGCTGTGTACCTGTCAAGGGCCTCGCTGTGGTCCACACGATACAAGCAAGACAAACTGCTGCTGGGGTGAGGAACCCAAAGAACAAACCACACATACCGCCACCGCCATGCGTCCAGGTTTGGAGGCACCTGGGGACGTCGGCTGGAGACATCAGGTCATGAGACAAAGACAAAGTGTTCCACCCACCGCTCTGGACTGCATCTCCTCTGCCCTCGCCCCCCCTGCGCCTCGCGCGTCCCCGCACCAGATCTGGAGAGATTTGACAGCACTGTTAGCCCCTCCCCTCTTGCGCTCTCCCTTGAGAGGTCAAGGGTGGGACGTACATCACGTTACCTTCGTTAGAGAGAAAAGGGAAAGGTCAATGGATTCAGCTGCACCCACTGCTCTGGGAAAAGCTGGGAATGGAGGGGGCAAGGGAGACCTGTCAAAATCCTCTCTGCCCCCTTGCCCTTGTCCGACTGAACAAGCAGAGGCCCTTTGTGCTCCCGGCTCTGGGCTTGCAAACACTGAGGACGTCCATCTAAACAGATGAAGCTGTGAGACAGAAGTGAGGGTCCCCTTGGTCGGGTAGGGATGGACTCCCCCTTCCCTGCTCTGAAAGACCCATGTAGGTCAAAGGTTTCACAAGTAGGAAGGAAAAAAAATCAAAGTCAAATCACTCCAAGACTCTGCATTTAGGACTAAACGAGGTGGTTCAGGTGGAGATGGGTGTTTGCTCAGAGACGCTAGCTTACGGGGCAGGAAGAGGCAGCACTCAGGGCCGTGCTATCGGGGCAGCTTCCCTCCCCTGCCCTAGATTTCCTGCTACAGGTTTGTTTTTTTTCCTCCCTCTCCTTGGTGGCTGGTTGCTTCGCGCTATCATACAATATACATGGGGGGCAGGACCGCTCCGCGCGGAGCCTCAGAATGTCCATCGGTCATGCAGCTGGTTGTCGCTGCTAAAGCTGTTGCTGGCCGAGGCCTCGGGGTTCTGTGCTTGCCGCGTGGAGTCCTCGCCGTTCAGGCTCTTCCGGCACACGGGACACGTGTCGTGCTGCAGAGACACGCGGTGGGACAGGGGGTCACGGCTAACACCCGCCCAGGATAGGCAGCACGGTTGCATTCATTCCCTTCTGCTACTGCCGGGATCTAGCTGCCTCCCCTCTGGTCTCTAGATCTGATTGAGTTAGTCTATCAGGTGTGTATCTACTCTGCTTAACGTTCTTAGCACTGCCACGCTGTGTCACGTGGTAGCTGGGAGGAAGGAAGAATCCATATCGTTATCAGAGAATCAAGTGGCGTAAGTGAAAAGCAAATCAGCCTCTAGAGAAGGGAGGGTCAACCTGCGCACCTAGCTCAGCTGGGGGCACTGTCAGTAGAGGCCTTGGCCCCCAACAGCCAGCTGCAGCACTGCTAGAGCTTTGGTTACTACGTGCAGTGGTGGGATTCGAACAGGCAACCTCAAGAGAACACTAGTGGCTCGAGCCACCAGCTCTGTTTGGTTTAGGACAGGCTCTCAGCAGCGCCACGGTCCCTGGGGCAAGATGCAGAGGAAGGCTGGACGTGAGGCACTCCCACTCTGGCCAGGGGACAGGCACCACTAGCACAGCGCATCACCCACCCACGAGGGCCCTTACCAGCTCTAGCCATGGCACGATGCAGTTGCTGTGGAAGAAATGGTTGCAGGGTAACTGCCGGACCTGCTCTGCTACTGTGTAGTCTTCTTTACACACCGGGCACTCCAGACCCGTATCTGTGGGGTGAAGGGGAGCGGTTAGCAGCGTGAATAGGACACTGGCTCGTCTTAATCCACCCCAGAAACCCTCCCCCGTAACAGGATATAAACAGTCACAGTCACCACATACAGATCTCCACTGCTCTCACCCTGGGGTGAATCTAAGTGCAACATCAGCAGGGCTGTATTGGGCAAGATGAATGGTCCATCTATCCTGGTAACCCGTCTCCAACAGTGGTGGTAGTAGATGGTTTAGAGGGAAAGCATTGGCCTGGGTACAACCTCCAGCCCCCGGGGCTTGTGCGCGGGGCTGGATGGTTGAGCACCACTAATCTAGAGTGATTTATCCCCTGCGATACACTCCCGGCATCCACCATCATTGGGGTAGGGGCATCCTAGAGAGATGCTGAAAGGATGACCTAGGTGAGGCTTCAGCCTACAAAAGCTTGCACTCTCTCTCTCTCTCTTATTTAGTTAGCTTGTAAATGACGAGGCCTCGACCTGGGACCTCTTGAGCATATATTAACAACCTTTACAGACACAGTTGGCCACACTGATCCCTCTGCTTTCCCTGTGGCAGGTTCAGGTCTGAGGTCTTGTGTTGTGTCAGGGTGCACAACAGTTTTACTAAGAGGTTAGATCACAGGTTTGTCCGGGATGGTTTAGACCAGGCTGATCCTGCCTCAGGCAAGAGGTTGGACTAGATGTGACCTCTGGAAGTCCCCTCCAGCCCCGCGTCTCTCTGACTCAATGACTCTATGATACCCCGCTGACCTGAATACAGGGTAGCTAACAGGTAGGGTGGCTTTGCCCAGAGCAGGAAATGCTGAATTCTGATTGTGCCGGTGGTTTTAACTTCCTTCTGGATTGCACCTTTAAAGGCATAACAAGGAGACACTTTTCTCCACAGAGTGCTCTCTCCAGCACCGGGGGATAATTCATCATCATTCGTAAAGGGATACAGGACGTCAGCCCTATGCCCACTTAACATGTGTGCGCGCGCACACACACACACACGCCACAAGCCAAATTAAGAGCAGAAGTGAAGGAGGAAGCCACTGGAGCCCCCAGGATATTTAACCAGGTGGAAAATAATTACCCAGCTTGGAATCCAGCCAGGACAGAAGGACTCAGCCTTAGAGATCTATTAATGAGATCTCTCTTATAGCACGCATGCACACACGCAAATGCACACGCAAGGCAAGGCCTGACACCCACAGTAGACCCACATTCAGCTTCAGGTTTGCATATAAAAAGAATGCAATGAAAATAGATACCATGGAAACAGCTTTTCTAAATGAACCTGCCTGTCTGTCTGAATGGAGTTGGTCTGGGTTCCCGGAAGCGCGGAGGCTTTGTGCAAACAAGGAATCCTGACAGTGACCCAGCACCAGGCGCCTCTGCAAACAGCCCTAAGAAAACCCCCCTCTTTCCCGAGTCACTTTGGAAACTTTCAGCACCTGTGAAGTACCCACAAGCCTTTGATGCCAATTATGTCAAGGGAACCCATGCTCTTTACCGTGACATTTTCAGAAGGATTGAGGAGCATTTCATAGCTGGATTTACCAGCCTCACCTAGGAGCTGACACAAAAGGCAGCGCCTGATGCGCAAAGCCCAATGTGGAGCCTGTCATTCCCCAATGGAGCCAAGATTTAAAAATCAAAGCAACCAGAGCCTCGGCGAGTCAACAGACTGGAAAAACACAGGGGTCTGAACTGACCACAGCCACTGAGGCTGCCATGGAGTGAGAGCAATTGGGAGACTGAAGGCAGCAGCAGGTCTGGAGTCGTCAGCACAGCTTGGTGCCGGCATCTCCTGGGCCAAAACTCTTGAGTCTCTATCGACTGAGCTAAGTCAGCAACTCATTGAGATGGGAGCTGTATCGGGCTCCCCTCCTCCTCTCCTGTTCTAACAGACTGTCCATTAGAGCGGTCACAAGACACCATGAACCGCACGATCTCACACACACACACACACACACACACACACGCACACGCACACGGGAGTAGCAGTCCATGGTCACGGTGGAGAGAAAGATGCTAAATCATGAACGGCGAGACTAGGAAAGCTTAGATCAACTAGCCACAGAGGCCCAAGGCAGTAACAACCAGTTATCACTGGGATGTTCTGGTGCGGCAAAGGGATATTTAGCAGGAGGGCAGAGAAGGAAAGAGCTGAAATTGGCTTTAACCCACCAACTTGTTCCTGAGTTACTGTCACAGTCGGGAGGGAGGATATCTTCTCCTTGTCAGCAGGAGGTGGTCCAGTGTTTTCCAACTGCCCCAAGAGCTAGACAGGGAGAAAAACAAAACAAAACACGCTGCACTTAGACAGAACATAAGCCAGTTCTCTCTTGGAAAGCATCTTTCAAGTAAGGTCTGACCCTGAATGCAGCAGCATCCCTGAATACACCGATTCTAAGCTAGGGAGCCATGAGATTCTTTCAAGGGTGCTGCTGGAGGCTGCTCAATTATTACCACTCTTAGGGGTTCGAATACTTCTGTGAGATTCCTGATCTAAACCCAGACATTTCAAATGGGAATCCAGAGCCCTGCCTTCCTATGGGCTCACCCAGTTCTCTGCAGCAGAAGAATCACTCTTATTTTCCTGTAGCCAAGACAAAAGTAAAAGCTGAGAGCTGGCACTCTCCGAGGGGAGCCTGAAGGTCTGTCAAGGTTGACAACCGTGGCCCTAACAACCCATTTCGAAAGGCGGGGGTGTTCACAAGCACTAGGACAGCGGAGGGGATGGGTTGAGAGGTTGGTATTGGGAGG